TATCATCACAGTCCCTGTGACCCACATCTTCAATCTCTCCATGAGACAAAACTCCATCCAGACACTTGAAAACAGCCTTTGTTCTTCCTTTGCTGAAGAAAGGTGACCCCACCTCACTGAACAACTATGGACCAATCTCTAAACTCTGAATTTTAGCCAAGGTTCTAGAAAAACTGATAAACTCTCAAATCAAAAATGACCTGGACTCATTTAACATCTTACCTCCACATCAATCTGGTTTCAGGAAACAACACAGCACAACCTCTGCTTCACTGAAGGTTCTTAATGACGTTGTTGAAGCACTGGATGCTAAGGATTATTGTGCTGCACTTTTCTTAGACCTGTCTAAAGATTCTGACACTGTGGATCAGAACATCTTGTGTCATAAACTCTCAGAAATCGGTTTCTCAGATCACACCATTGGTTGGTTCTCTAACTATCTTTCAGACCGGAGGCAATGTGTTCAACATAATGGTACTTCCTCCAGTTATTTAACAGTCAACAACGGTGTACCACAAGGCTCAGTCTTAGGACCCACCCTCTTTACAATCAACATAGGTAATGTTAGTAAAAACATCCCTAATGCATCCATACATTTCTATGCTGATGACACAGTTGTTTATTGTCGAGCTAAAACTGTTGATAAGGCTTTCCAGCTTTTAAAATCTGCATTCAACATCATCCAGACAGATTTGTTCCACCTCAAACTTGTCCTAAATGCTGACAAAACCGAAGGGATGCTTTTTTCAAACAGGAAGTTGGTCCCAGCAGTTCTTCCTCTGATTTTATCCTCAAATGGTGTCCCCATTGAGTTTGTTGATTCCTATAAATATTTGGGTATCTTGGTCGACTCACATCTCTCTTTTAAGCTCCATGTGGAAAACTTGGTAAAGAAACTGGAAGTTAAACTGGGTTTCTTTTTCAGAAACAGATCCTGTCTAACTCTGAATGTTGGGAAACACCTTGTATCTGTGACTTTCCTTCCCTCCATTGATTACGGTGACATTATTTACATGAACGCTTCTATAAGAACCCTGCAGATGTTGGATGCTGCAGATGTTGGATGCTGTCTATCATGGTGCACTAAGATTCATAACTGGCTGTAATAATAATAATAATAATAATAATAATAATAATACATTTTATTTCAGGGTGCCTTTCAAAAACCCAAGGTCACCTTACAAAAACAATTAAAATCAGCAATTAATAAAAACAGAATCAACAAATAATTAAAAATAAGTCACAATAAAACAACACTTAAAACAAAGTTAAAACAAAGTTAAAGAGAATATGCCTGTTTAAACAGGTGTGTTTTCAGTTGTGATTTAAAAGAGGGAAGAGAGTCTGTGTTCCTGATGACAGGAGGGAGTTCCAGAGCTGAGGAGCACAGAGACTGAAGCCTCTGTTCCCCGTGGTGACGAGACGGGCAGAAGGAACAATAAAATGAGTGGCAGATGAGGATCTGAGGGAACGGGAAGCAGTGGAGATGTGAAGCAGATCACACAGGTAAGGAGGGGCAAGGTCATGGATGCACTTGAACGTGAGAGTTAAGATTTTAAAATTTATTTTAGCTTCTATGGGCAACCAGTGAAGCTGCTGCAGAACCGGGGTGATGTGTTCTCTGAATGGAGTACAAGTTATGACCCGAGCTGCAGAGTTCTGGAGGAGTTTGAGTTTATGGAGAGTCTTATTCAGGAGACCAAAAAGAAGAGAGTTGCAATAATCAATCCTGGAGGTGATAAGGCTATGGCCAAGGATGGCAGCAGCATGAGGAGTAAGAAAAGGACAAAGTTGGTTGATGTTACGTAAATGGAAGTATGCAGACCGGGTGATAGAGTTAATATGAGATTGAAATGAAAGCGTATTATCAAGTATGACACCCAGACTCTTTACCTGAGGGGAAGGAAGAACATGGGAGTTGTCAATATTGATGGAAAAACTCTGCGATTTGGTTGAAGTGGAGACTGTGCCAACAAGTAAAACTTCTGTTTTCTTACTGTTGAGTTTAAGAAAATTTGAGGAAAACCATGATCTCATTTCCATAAGACAGTCCGATAGGGAGGAAGGTGGAAGAGATGAATTGGGTTTTGAGGAAATGTAGAGCTGGGTGTCATCTGCGTAACAGTGAAAATTGACATTATGTTTTCGGAATATGTGGCCAAGAGGGAGCATATAAATAATAAATAAAAGGGACCCTAATACAGAACCCTGGGGCACACCTGCAGCAACGGGAAACAAACTTGAGGAATGGGTTTTAAATTGAATAAACTGAGTGCAACCTGAAAGATATGAATTAAACCAAGCAAGTGGAGTATGACTGATGCCAATGGCTGTAACTACCATACCCACCACTGCACCCAGTATCCACTGGTTAACTGGTCACCATTAACTTCACACAGACTCTCTCACTGGTACATTTTCATCTTTAAATCACTTCTTGGTCTGCTGCCTTCATACATCTCCTCCTACATGTCTCTGTGCGAGTGCAGCTATAGCGTGTGCTCTCAGGACATTATTACCTGCAGTGTTCCCTAAGTGTAGGGCTGCAACAAAGAATCGATAAAATTGATAAAAATCGATGATTAAAAGCGTTGGCAACGAATTTCATTATCGATTCGTTGTTTTGCGCTATTATGCATCTTTCACGGCGCTGCGGAGCCGTTTTGTTCACCTGCAGTTCATTGTCAACGCTGACTGACTGAATAAAGTTTGAAAAAAAAAAACTCTGCAGCGCGAGTTGAGCAGAGCGAGGGGGGAGGAGGCAGAGTGTTTTCAAAGGAAAATAAGTCAATTTTACAAATGACCAACACAGCAAAAACTGTTTGACCCAAGTCCTCCAAAGAGTGGGAGCTCTTCACAAAGATAAAAACTGAGAAACATGCAGCTTTGAAAAGTGACAACACGACACGGGAGAACCACGGAGATAAACGTAAACATGTCGGAGTCACGAGGAGGAGGAAGGAGCTGCAGCTGATACAACTCATCATGTGTTGCAGGTGAGTCTCTACAATTTAACACTTTGTTCTGTTTCAAGAGAGAAAACGTAACGTCAGTCTCTCTGGTAGATGAAGCTGTTTGTTTGTTTGTTTGTTTGTTTATCTGATTAATGACGGTGATAGAGAACGTGTGTTACTTTTTATTTAATTTAATTGGAACAAGCAGTGTTTAAATGTGATTTATAAATAAATCTAACACAAAGATAATAATTTAATGATTAAACTTCAACTTTTAATTTACTGGCAAAGTCTGAAGACACTGCAGGTATGGCAGGATGAATTGCATTTAAACAGGAATTAAAGTAATTTATTACATCTACTCAAATGTGTGTAATTTTTTTATGTGTGTGTGTTTAATTGCTTTTAGCTACTTTTGCCTGAACCTAACACTGTAAGTGAAACAAGGCATTTCTTGAGTTGCTGTAAATTATACTATAAAACATATTTACTGTCTCATTCCAGAAAACAACAACAACATCCTTCATGATGGACAGACATCATGGACACCACAGCAGCAGCTGTCTTCACTGAAACATCCTGAACATGATCGTCACTGACACGAGGCCTCTGTCCATGGTTGAAGACGAAGGCTTCACTACAATAATCCACACTTTTAATCCAGGTTACAATAATCCACACTTTTAATCCAGGTTACACTCTTCCCTCAAGGACACATTTTACAAAGTAGCTAAATATTGTGCAGGTATAAAGAAACATTTGTATATATTTTTGTGTACATTTATTTTTTAAAGCTATTTGACTAACTTATTTTTTATTATTCAATATTTTACCAACAGAATAGTCAAGTAGCAACCTGTTTTTCTGTGAATTGCTATGTCAGTCAAATGTTAAATTTTGGAATAATGGGGTGGAAATTAAAACATTTTTATTTTTTTTTTGCAGATTCATCGATTAATCGAAAAAATAATCGGTCAATGAATCGATTATTGAAATAATCGTTAGTTGCAGCCCTACATCAGTGAGAACTGAACATGGCAAAAGGACCTTCTCCTACTCCGCTCCTGTTTCCTGGAATATCTTGTAAAAAGATCTGAAGCTCTCGACCTTTGACCTCTCTAACTGTCTTTAAGAATCTGTTGGGACTCCTGGCAGGGACCAATGCTGACATGTTCCTGTTTTTAGTTTCTACATACCATACCATACAATACCACTTTATTTATAAAGCACTTAAAACAGCTACAAGACCAACCAAAGTGCTGTACAGACAGAACAACAGGTAACACACAAAGCAAAATACAAAATGAGGTCAATCAGAATATAGACATAAAAATGATGCAGATAATGACGACAAACCAGTGTGGATCATACAGGATCAAACACAGATCATCAGGTGTTGAAAGCTACTGAATAGTAGTGAGTTTTTAAATGGGACTTGAAAACTGAGAGGGAGGGGGCCAGTCTGACAAGCAGAGGTAACTCGTTCCAAAGTCTTGGTCCTGCTACAGAGAAGGCCCTGTCACCTCTGCGCTTAAGACGAGTTCCTGGAACTGTGAGGAGCAAACAATCGCCTTAGAATCTAGCTGTTCTTATGATGCTTTTCTTTTTTTAGCCATCGTATTTGTAAAAAAAAAAAATCTGTATGCTTTTTATAACTGTTTATTGTTGTTGCTGTTGTCCATTGTTTCATCTTTCTTTGTTAAATCAGGTCTCTCTTGTAAAAGAGTCCTGGAGGCTCAATGGGATTTACCTGTCTAAATAAAGGTTGAATGAAAAATCCTTAACTTTGCTGTATGTATTTTATATTATGTATGTATTTTATATTATGTATGTATTTTATATTTTTAATGTATTTTATATTCTTTATGCATTTTATATTCTTTATGTATTTTATATTTCAATTTATTCCTGTTGATCTTCGCACTGTGCTTGTTGTTTGTTTTGACACGATCTTTCTGATACGTTTCTTACTGTAAAGTGTCCTTGGGTGTCCTGAAAGGCACTTTTTAAATAAAATTATTATTATTATTATATTTTATTATTTACCCAGACCACATCCACTTCTGAGTTCAGTCCATCCAGCTCCACAAAGTCTTCTTTGTTGGTGATGGGACCTCCAGACTTCAGCCTCCATCCATTCAGCTTCCAGTTCTTCACCCAGTTGGTCACTCCTGCAGAACCAGACCCAGAACTTTGGTCACAGTAGAAGTTCTTGTCATTTGGACCCGGCCCCCGAAGGCCTCACAGAACTCACCGTGGATGGTGAACTTGCTGTCGGTGTAAAGAACCAGTTTCTGGATGTTGTTCTGTTTGGCCTGGTCCAGAGCTCTGCAGGCCGCCTGGTTCATAATCAGGAGAAGGTAAACACTTCCTGAAACCATACCTGACCTTCTGCTAAGGCAGAATGGGCGGGGCTTACCTTTATCTCTGCTCTCTGATTGGTCTGTCGACCTTGCAGCCGCTCTGCAACATTTCTGAGCAACAAGCAGCAACACATTGTTTACTCAGTTCAGTCCCAATCATGTGACCAACCGTGCTGAAAAACCCTGAGATGTGGTGACTCACAGAGGGTGGTTGTGACCCCAGAACACTCCGATCCCTGCTCGAGCTCCGATCTGTCCATTAGCTGAGCAGCACCCATCGGTATAAACGACCACAGCATCGCCTGAGGGAAGAGACAGCAGAGTTTACAGATGGTGGTATCTACAGACTGCAGGGCCTCATTATAGGGTTTACAGGTTGTAGGTTCTATAGTTTTTAAGGTGTGCAGATTGTAAGGTTTAGTTTGAAGTGTCTACACACTGTAGGATTTATAACAAGTTTCAGTCAGGTCATCTGGACAGTTTCTTTTTTTGCTAAAATGTTTCACCTTCCATCCAGAAGGCTTCATCAGTCAAGGAAACACACAACACAAAAAGGATTCTTCCCCCAACAGCTTACTACAAAGTGGAACAAACCAGTTATGTTGGTGCTAAGATGGTGTTTCCTAACATTCAGAGTTAGACGGGATCAGTTTCTGAAAAGAAAACCAGTTTAACTTTCAGTTTCTTTACTAGGTTTTCCACGTGAAGCTTAAAAGAGAGATGCGAGCTGACCAAGATACACAAATATTTATAGGAATCAACAAACTCAATGGGGACACCATTTGAGGATAAAATCAGAGGAAGAACTGCTGGGACTGACTTCCATTCATCCATCCATCCATTAACTTTTACCCGCTTCTTCCATTTTGGGTCACGGGGATTGCCGGTGGCCATGTCACCACTTGCTCTTGCCGAGATCGGATGCTTCTCCCTCCCTCTCCGCTTTGCTGCTTTGTCTGTGAAACTGCTTCTGAGCCTCTCTTGCATCTTCCGAACCATAATTATGGACTTGTTTTGATCAGTTGGTCTCTCAACTCAATTTACAACATTTCTTCGAAGAGAAGACAGGCTTTAGGCGAGCCGATTTGCCCTGTTGGCACGTAGCTGGACATCTCATCAACTGGATGACTTGATGATGTGTCTATCTCTGCTGCCATCTGTGGATTTTAAGGACGCATATTTAATTGGATTTATGATAACTGGTTCCTGCTATTTTGGATTCATCTGGTTGCTGGTTTTATCTACAATCAAGGAAGTCGTTGGCAGCAAATTTGGACCTGATCACACTGCTTGCTTTTATGATGGTTTGGTTCGTGTCTCGAGTACCCAGACTCAAATGCTTTGGGCTGAATGGATCAGATCTCAGGGATTTTACTCAGTCACGTTCCATCGGTGTGGCCATGTAGTTTGTACATTTCGGAACCGAGTCGCCCAACACAGACTCAAGGTAATGTCATTAAGTTCTGCCTGTCCCCAAAACAATAGTGTGTTTATCTGAATTTGGTTCCCTTGGCTGGCCTTGAAGGCCATCTTATCTGAATTCGCCTGGAGAAAATGTGATCTAACGCTCACCACCCCTTCCCTGAGGAATTTCCAACTGATAACCAGATGGAACCAGCTGAATAAACTTTGTGGCATCATTTCAGGACTCTAGGATTCTCACAGACGTTATTCTTGGCCATTCCTCGACATACCTCGAGAATGTTTATACCATACCATACCATTTTATTTATAGAGCACTTAAAACAGCTACAAGGCCAACCAAAGTGCTGTACAGACAGAACAACAGGTAACACACAAAGCAAAATACAAAATGAGGTAAATCAGAATATAGACATAAAAACGATGCAGATAATGACGACAAACCAGTGTGGAGCATACAGGATCAAACACAGATCATCTGGTGTTGAAAGCTACTGAATAGTAGTGAGTTTTTAAATGGAACTTGAAAACCGAGAGGGAGGGGGCCTGTCTGACAAGCAGAGGTAACTCGTTCCAAAGTCTTGGTCCTGCTACAGAGAAGGCCCTGTCACCTCTGCGCTTAAGACGAGTTCCTGGAACTGTGAGGAGCAACTGGTCCGCTGACCTCAGGGAGCGTGGTGGGACATACGGTTGTAGCAAATCAGAGAGATGGGGGGGTGAAACTGTTCAGTGATTTGTAGACATTAGGAATGTGCTATATGGCATAAAATTCATATCACAATATGTATTGTGAAGGGTGGCGATAACGATATATATCGCAATATGTTTTTGCATATATGCACTTCAAAGCATCGGAGCGTCTCCTCCAGGCGAACACAGCGACTCCACGGAGGTGGACAGTCCTTTGTTAAAAGTAACAGGCTGCTCACTGAAGCTGAGACCGGCTCTGTTGAAGACGAAGTCCCCCACAGCCAACTCGGTTCAGTTCTGGTCCTATTTGGGGACACAGGTACACTTCCCCCACACCGAATGAAGACACCACAAGGGGCCAGTCCAACAGAAAACCAGCAAAAAAGCCAGCAAAATACCATCCAGTGATTCTTGTCGGAACCAGGCAGAACCACAAGGTCCAGATGAGAAGTTTGTTGGGGTCCAAAGAGAGAGAGAAAAAACACTGGACCTTCGTGCAACGACTCCCGAGCTCAAGGGGTCACCTAGCCGGCAGGGTGCGCTCAGAGTGACCGGTGGGGTGGGAGCGGACGGTCCTGGACCAAAATAAATTTTTTTGGACGGTCCCGTCCGGCTCTCTGAGTCACTGAACACCGAATTCGGTTGGAAGGGGGACCAACTTTAGTCTGGTTCAAAAAAACGGATCAGTTTGATGATAAAAACTGCAGAGAAGCCGGAGGGAGCTGCCGTCCATCAACTCGCCGGAACCGGAAGTCGTTTTTGAGGGTATACAGACTGTAGGATTTACAGTTGGGAGTGTTTCCAGACTGTAGGTTCTACAATTTTTAGCATCTGCAAACTGTATGTTTTACATATTCAGTCCATTTACTCTAAATTGAATCAAATTTGGAGTAAAGCCTCTCCTGATCCCCGATATCATTTTTGTGCAGGTGTCACAAAAAATCTCACCACATTCTTCCATTTTAATTCTCGCCATGCATTTGACCCAGTCCACTGTATTTGACATATTTTTTCCAATTTTCCACAGGTATTTTTACGTTCACTTCTTTTTCCCACTTCTTCTTGATATAATGCGTGTTTTCTTGTTTAGACAGTTGTGTACCATTGTAAAGCTTTGTTAACATTTTAGTGCATGGTTTTCCTTCAAACATTGACAAAAACACATTTATCAATTCAAAACCACTACTAACATGGACCTCGCTCAGATTCTGATTATAATGTCTAATTTACAAGTACCTATAGAAGTCTTCCTTTTCTAGACCAAATTTATTTCTCAGAGTCAAAGCTCTGGAATACCCCCTTGTGGGTAAATGAGAAATAGGTGGATAACCCCTTTGAGACCAATTTTTGAAAACCTACATTGTTCTTGTTGGGTACAAAGTCTGAGTCGTACGCACATCTCATAATTTTATTTGCGTCCTCCAAGATGCATAGTTTAACAGTACCTTGCCATGACCTCTAAAACTCATGAGGCCAAAGGACAGATGTTAAAATGGTTTCTTAAAGCTTTTCTGAGGCAAGTCCGTTTGTTCAGACATACATACCCATGTATGTGAATCCATCTTTGTGTTCTGAGAAAGAATTTCCTTCCAGTTTCACTTGTTTAAGTTGAAGCTCCGCCCCCTCATTTGAGTGACACCTCTTCTTTCCCAGTGGGATGTACTGGAGAGGCTCCAGACCTCGTTTAGGAAGAAGGGAAACATCGGACTCTGCACACTGAGTCACTGATGGGAAACAGAAGGATCAAGCTGCATGAAGTTTAAACAAGTCTATGTTTAATGTGTCTGCAACAAACTGCGTGAAGCGTCGAGTCGTAGCTCAACGGCCACGTTAAAAACAGAACAGATCTCACTGGGAGCCTCGTTATTTTACAAAAATCAAACCAAAGTAGACAAGCTGTGAGCGAAAATCTCAAGTCTCGCTGTTTCTGTAAAAAAATGAACAAGACATCAAAGGACAGATTGTTTACCCAGAATGCACAGCAGCATATTTGGAAAACCGTTACCTGATCCACAGTTTCATAGCTCCACCTGTCAGCACGATGGTGAAGGGTTAATGGTAGGGCTGCTGGCCGGTCATCGATCACTAAAAGATCTGACCTGCCGAACCAGATTTAGTTTGATAAGCGACACTGTCACAATGCACCTTCAACCTCCAGTCTTACTTTATTGAAAAAATACAAACTGGTTTTAACTGGCCATGAGGCGGTGCTCTGAAACATAAAAAGTTTAGACAATTGTTGTTAAAACTACAAAAAAAATCAATAAAATCGGTTTGTCATTCAAGTATTGGCCGACCTCCGATTTACCAACATTAAAGAAATCGGGGCCGATAAATCGTCCGGCCGATTTATCGGTGCACCCTAGTTACTGGTTTGGAGATGTAGTTAAAATGTTCCAGAAAACCACTGAGCTGTTGTTCTGCTGGACCAGGGTCTGGAATCAGTTTTTCACTCACAGCTTTAAGATTTAGCTCGTCGTGGAATCAGTCAGATGTTTTCAAAAAAGTTCATTCTGGTCCTCTGGACATTAAAAAAAAGGTAGAACTGTTTCGTCTCTCATCCTGAGGACTTCCTCAGTCTGAGGTGCTGTTTTCAGCTCAGTCTCTTAAATAGCACCTTCTCAGAGTGGATCAACCAGTTTGCTGCTGACAACCAAAACCAGCTGATCACATGCTCAAGAAGGAC